CGTTCAAAGCCAACAAACTTTTCTCTATCCAGTTCCTCTATGCCACGCATAATTTTATAAACTTCTATCATGTCATCTCTTACTTGCCTATTCTCCAAACTAAAACGTCCCGAATGCTGCAACCTTTCCTCACAGGAGTCCTTCCATTCCCTTGATCATCTGGGTTGCCCTTTTCTGAACCTTTTTCCAACTCTGCCTGAAATATACTCGGAGTCGAGTGTGGATTTCATGCTCTTTATTCAGCTCATAGTAGTGAGGAGGAATCCTTTTTGATGTGAACCATACATGTTACATGAAGGTTCAGCTATGCAAACACTTGTTATAGGAACTTTCCGTTATCTGCACGTGAAGGATCTTTACTCTAAGGTCACTAAATGAACGTCTGGTTCAAATATCCGAACAGCAGGACCTGCATGTATACAGATCAGCAAGAAGTTGTTCAGCACCCTGACTGAGTGCAATCTATGGAACTGTGGTCGGTGAAAATAAAATGAAATGAAAGGATAGGAGAATCTTTTTTTAATCATTTGGGGGTTAACCATTCTGGGTTTGGGAATTCACTGGGATTTTCCCAATTAAGAATGGAAATTGTCAGCTCACTATGCAAACACTCACCTTATTAACTGTTTCTCATGAACAGATTAGGTTCACCTAGCAGGACCTGCATGTATTCCAAATGCAGTCACACCATAGATTTGTATAATGCCATGGTATTGACAGACATATTTTCCATTCCTTTCCTAATGATCCCTAGCATAGAATCTGTCCTTATCACAGCTGCTGCACACGGGGTCTACATCTTCATCAAGCTATGACCCAAAGGTCTCGTACCTGATCTGGCCTGGCCTGAGCATGTATGTGAAATTAAGATTTTTTTTTTTGTGCCAGCATGCATCACTTTACACCTGTTTACACTGAGCTGCATTTGCCATTTTTATCACCCATTTTTTCAGTTTTGGAGAGGTTCTTTGGAAGGCCTTCACAGTCTCTTTTTTATTTAACTGTCATGGGCCCTGATGAGATGCCAATGTGGGGACCCGGCTTGACCAGGACGAGGGGAGTGGGACCTGACACCTGAAGCGGGAACCTGAGAGACAGCTTTCATAGTGGCTACTCCCAGGTTCTTGAACTACCTAACAAGGGAAGGCTGTCCAGCCTCATCTGCGGCAAAAATATTTTTTCATCCAAACAGGCTCTTTTGTCTCATAAGGCAACTTGTTGGAATCATGCTGCCATTCGTTTGGCTGCTGTCTGTTTGACTGATTTTATTGATGTGATTAACCTGACTTGTTTTCATGATTTGATTCATTTTATTTTGTATTTTTTTTTTGCATTACTGCTGCTAGCTACCTTGAACACCACCTGGTAGCAACAAAACAAAATAGTGCCTTCCCTCAAGTCCCATCCTAGCCAGAAGCATATTATGTTGTGATACTGAATTCGGTTGATACTACAGACACTCAACAGGGCTTCAATCTCCTTTGCTTATTGCCTGGTCAGGTGATCTACTAGGGTAACGATGGTCCACTGGGGTAACAAAAATCAGAGTAAAAGCCAAATTGGAATGGATCTAAATTAGGGCTGCCATAAATCTGGGAATTGGGCTGCGAAATGGCATTCGGGCAGATTTTTGCTGAATCTGCAAAATGTCCAGGAAAACCCAGACGTGTGGCAAGTAGGGTGATTTTTGTTTAAATTTTTTTTAATGTGGCAACCCTATCTAAATAACCAGTTTCACCAAACTATTGCTGAAGTTGTGACTCATCCACAAACGACAATCAAATCCCAGATGGCAGGTATTTTTTCAGTGATCGACCTGGCACTAATATGCAGCACCCCACCTTTTGTTAATCCATTGTAGTCTGAGGCCTGCTGAGGAAATTTTCAATGCAGTCTAGTTCTTTCAGTAGACCCTTGTGAAGAAAACCAGCGTCATCTTGTTTGAAAAAGTTGAGGAACACTGCTTTGGTACTGGCACTGTTATCTAGAGCAGTGTTTTTCAACCACTGTTCCGCGGCACACTAGTGTGCCGCGAGATGTTGCCTGGTGTGCCGTGGGAAAAATTGAAAAATTCGAAAGATTTAAAAATAAAGTATTTTATAAATTTTCACATTTCTGTTTACTTACTATTTCATAATAAAGTAATTATAAAATACTTTCTTTGTGTTTATTTGATTCCTAGTCAAGAGAATTACTTTATATATAGTCAATATAGGCACAGAGTTAAATTTTTTAACATTTTCTAATGGTGGTGTGCCTCGTGATTTTTTTTCATGAAACAAGTGTGCCTTTGCCCAAAAAAGGTTGAAAAACACTGATCTAGAGTGAAGTTGGCACTTATCACTCAGCTTTTTTAAAAATTCCCACGTTTGGCTTCAGTGGATACGTTAGGTACATAATTACAGGGAAATAAGTTTCCATAAATATCCTCGATCATTATCTACAATTATCCCCTTTCCCAGTGCTTTGGCTGTACCTGGCACCATTGTCTGATATTCTTTTGGTACTAGGTGCATAACGTCTTAATTGCCCAGACTTTAGAGCCATTATATGTTATTTTTCAATCTGCATTGCTATTTACTGAATTATAATGTTTTATTTTATCATATTTATTTTTCTTTGATAGTGCTTCAAACTTCTTTGCTAGACATCTTGGAGTATTATTTCTAAACAAAGAGCAGTACATCAAATAAATAAAATAATCCCTAGTAAGTTTGGGCATAGCATTAATTCCTAAAATTTGAGAAATTTTCTATTAAGAAAAGTCTGCAGGAATCTATGTTTTTTCCCCCAGGAAAGGCCCGACCCCAATGCTTTAGTTTCTGATGCAACATTTTCCATGTTTTGTCTCAACAGGAATAATTCCCAAAGCACTCCTGTGGCAAGACTGGCCCTAAGAGTCCAATTAAGTCAGCTGATCTATATTCATAACCTAGGTACACTTTTCATCTACAGCTCCAGATAGAACTAAGAGGTAACAGAGATGCCAAACACTGATGTCTGATGGTGGATGCCCTCCATTATTTTTTCTCCTTTTCCATACAGAATACTTATGTGCACCTCAATTTATTTATTTCAGGAAGATTTCAGGAAGATTTCAGGTTCTCTTTAAGGGGCAAACAAGCCAAACAGTAGGTGGAGGTCACAAAATGAAAGGAAGAAAACTTGAGATCCCCCACCCAAACACACAATTGTGGCATGTGTGTGAAGAGATTCTACATATACATACTAATATTTTGCATATGATGTAAGCCACCCAGAGTGGCTGGGGAAACCCAGCCAGATGAGCGAGGTAATAATAATAATAATAATAATAATAATAATAATAATAATAATAATTGCTTGGGCCAGGGTCACCTCCACATGGAAGATTTCTATATGTGCATGTTGTAAAGCCACCTGACACATGGTCACATGGTGTGCAAGTGCGTCAGCAGCGGGGAAGATGCGGCCGCTTTGTACCAAACCCATCCCCTCTTTTATCACATGAAGGGTATTTTGCATGGACACCCCTTGTGTTAAAATAAAATAGGAAGTAATGAAGAATATGACACTTCGAACCTGTTTTGCCATGAGAAAACAACAGTTAATTTGTAGTAATATTTCTATGAACAGTATGTGGGGGAAGGCAGCTCTACATTCTCCTTCAAGGCTACTCTAGCAGGAAAGTGACTAAACTTTAAAAATAAATGCAACTCAAGTATTAGCCACCATGAAAGCATGAATCAGCAGTATGCTCAGCAAAATGAAAAAGAGCTATAACAATACCCATTTTCTGGGCATGAGATGTTTTTAATATATAAAGATATACCGGTAACTGAGCAAATTATTTTCTCCAGTGGTAATTACTGAGGACACCAAATACTTCTCTGGATCCTTGAAGAATTCAGTTTCTATTTAACCTACAGCTGTCCACATGTACAAGCCTACATGGCTAAAGTGAGCACACCACAGTTGTCACATTGCACAATTTTTGCCATCCTTCATCCCCAATAAAAACGACCTTACCACCTGATTGCAAAATATGTGTAAATAATATTTAATATAAAACAAAAATTGACATGCATAGGACAAAAAGCGCACAGATGCAAGACTTCTAACAACAACTCAGAACATAAAAGCAGAAGGCCTTGGAGTCAATGCTTGTAGAAATGGCTGTTTTGACTTAATTTTTATATTGCTCCTTAGGTTCAGGCAAGTGATGGGGGTTTCTCCCAAAATTGTCTTTGTAGTTCCAGTAATAAAGCTGCTTTATACTTCTAGATAAATGCAGATCATCAATAATCGAGCATGGCCCAGTTGATTAAATTTATGTAAGCTGCCATCCTAGCTGAGAAAATACCACACGGAAGATGCTACAGAAACAGGCTACATGCAACACACAACGACAACGACATGCTTGGGAAGTTCACAACCTGATCACACAGTGACTGATAGGCATGTTGCTCCGTCGTGACCGACGTTTTTAAAACCATATTTCCAGCATTATGCTACGCAGCTATACATTGTTATGGATATAAGCCCTGCTTGCCTGTAAAATATATTTGTTCACTATAAATATTTTAGCATCCATGACATTTACAGGAACAAGCTTTTTATATAACATTCCAGACAGAAAGTCAGAAGAGACTCAAAAGGAAGGGCTCACTTAAAAGAGATCTGGTGCAAGGTAAAGAATACATATTTCCAAAGATGTATGGAAGCTCAGCCTATCATATTAATTGATCTCTCAAGTTATCTCCTTGGCAAGCAGTTCCAGCTGCTCACATTCCTCTCAACAAGCTAATCCAAGTGCTCCATTTACTTCAGATTTTTACAGGAACCTGGCAAATTTCCTTGCATTTTAGCAAGACCAGAGAGATTTGGCTTCTTCATCTGCTAAACATAAAAAAAATTGCTTTCATTATATATAACTTACCCAAACAAGTGAATACAGGTTTTGATTATAATGCACTAGCATTCAAAAACAAAAAGATAAATTATGTCAGCATCTGCATTACCTTCAGTCACATAGTTGTGGTCTCGAAGAAAGCCATGGTTAATTTTCCGTGTGTCTGTGTCCTCGCCCATTTACAGCAGGATTACTCAGCATGCCTGTCCGCAGTGGACTGATAGAATCAGCAGAGGTCGTCACAAGAACACCATCCATGCTGCCACTGCCTAGCAGAGGCAAGAAACAGACTGTGGTATGATGTACAGCATAATGAGAGCTTGCGATGCAGCAAAGATTTGAAGGTGAATGAAAGAAAGAACAAGCACAAGATCGGCTCCAAAAATCAACAATGCAGAACTCAAAATGCCAGAAGGGGTCCAGATGCAAAGCAAAGATGCCCTGCTGACATAGCTAAATTCTCTAGCCAGCTGCTCCTTAAATGAGCTCCTGTACACAGGCAGCTCCCAAAGCTTGCCGCGGAGAAATCTTGCAGAATGTGAAGAAAGTGGCAGGCAGCTGACTGCAGCAAACGCTGCCTGGTACTAGCTCAGTGATTGTTGCTGCAGCTACTGCTGTCATCTGCCGTTGCTGCATCTGAGCAAGCCCCTCCCAGCCAGCATCTCACTATCCAACCAGGAAAGATTTGCATGGAAGTAAAACTGAGAAATGAGAATGCAGGCGAGGATTTCAGCTTGTGCGCCTGGAAACCAGGCCTTGAAATTTAAAGAAGAAAATAAAACAAAAATACTAAAATCAACCTGCTCTACATTATCCCATTCTAGGATACGATTCAACTGATCTTATTCATTATTTGTTATAGCTGTAGCAATTGCGTTCTCCTGTGCTCACGTCTTTCTTTCTGCATTATGTTGCAGTCTTGGATTTCTAAGGTAGGAGGCGCTCCCTACTTGCTTTGCCATGCTTCTTGGGAGAGAACCCTGACACTCTAGACGTTGTCGACTCCAGCTCCCATCAGCCCCGGCCAGCATAGCCAATGGTCAGGGATGGTGCAAGTCCATAAGTCCCTAGTTCATAGCATTTTCAACATCTCCAACACAGCAATGAAGATGAGCCTCCAATGGAACCCAAGAGAGAAAAGTTCAAATAAACAACTTCTGTATGGCCCTAGTCAGCAAAAATGGGTGGTTTTAGCAAAGGGGTGTTGCTAATAATAATAATAATAATAATAATAATAATAATAATAATAATATCTTTATTGTCATTGCCCCCTCTCGGGGACAACGAAATTACTTGGCTGCTCCATCCACCCAGGTAGGGCACTCCACACAAAATCAAATCAACTATAAAAACACTAATTAAAACAATACAGTATAAAACAGCAAGGAAGATTAGATGACTTTCAAAGTCCAGGCTTCCCATTCAGGGCCGAGATCGCTCTGGGGAAGAAGCTGTTCTTAAGACGGCTTGTTCTTGTCTTCATCGTCCTGTATCTCCGTCCCGACGGCAGGAGCTCGAAGAGACAGTGACCAGGATGCGATGGATCTTTTACTATGTCCAGTGCCTTCCGATGCACCTTGTGGCATAAATCTGCTCTAAGGTGGAGAGTGGGCAGCCAACAATGCTCTCTGCTGCCTTAACAACTCTGCACAACCCCAACCTGTCCCGGGTAGTACAACTTCTGTACCACACACATAAGCCATAAGTGAGCACGCTCTCAATGGCACAGTGATAGAAGGCAATATTCATTGTATATAGATGCATTCCACATTTTTGAAATTCAGTGTGTTTCATACAATCACACAACTCAAATATCGTGAATCAGCCATATTACAAACTGAGTAAGATTGTAGTTCTCTTGCATCCTGCCCTATTTATCCACCAGTTCTCTCTCGCACATCTTGCTCACCTGTAATGGGGCAAAATTAATCATTCTTTTCAACACACAAGCAATGGAGGAAGTAGGTTGTCAGTTATCAATTCAAAGCATACCTGGAGTCCTTTCTGCAAGTGGAACAGCAAACAAAAGGACCAGCAGAGGTAAGTATTCACAAATTTTTGCTTCCCAGTTCAGTGGCAGCTTTAACATAGCTGGAGAAGTCATCAGGCTGGAGCCTAAAGGAGAACTACAGAGCAAAAGATGCAGTGGATGAAGCTTCACTTGGTGCCTTTTGAAATATCACCTTTTGAAACATCGCCTTTTGAAATATCACCGTGACTTCCAAGTGAAAATCTGAATTTGAATTACACAAACACTGTCAACTTTATATGGGCAAGGAAGAGAGGTTCAACAGGTTTTAGTACTATGCGGTCTCAACTATGCTATAATCTATAAAATCAAGATGATTTGTCCAACCATTTAAAATTTGGACTGGATTATTTCCATGGCAAGTGCTAGAAGCTGTCTGTTTAAAAAACAGTCACCTATACTTTATCCTTAAAATGTGCATTCAGTTGATCACAGCAGGTATTTGATGGCTGTGGTGGGCCTTCCCACTTAGCAGTAGCCTCAGAACCACCCAAAAGAGCCCTGCTGGTCAGCTGCTTGAGGCTGCAATGCAAGCTGTGAAGCATGCCTTCTGAGCTGTCCACACTGCTGCACGGTAAGCATGACTATGCACACTAACCAGAGCTTGGTCAACTTCAAAGCAAGGCTTCTGCCAGCAAAACGTCCTGCTGCCACCCTCGTGATAGGAACGGGTGAGGCTCTGCAAAGGCTTCCCCTCAAGGAAAAGACCTTAGAAAGCCTTGCTGCAAGATTGGGGTGTGTGTGGCAAAATCCACAAGGGTGTCCAGAACCGCCCCTCTGGCCAATACTCAGTGAGAGGGGGACATTCCAGAGAGCTTTGGCACAGACCTCCCTCCACCTCTAGGGTCACAGGGACATCAGTGCCAAAACAGAGCTTCTTCCACAGCGGCAGAAGTGGTGGGGTGGGGTGGATGCTGCCCCTTGCGTTTCCGCTGCCTGATGTGGCTGCTGCATCCCACCTCAGCTGTGGGCCAGCTCTGTGTGCTGCCATGTGTCTTCATAGCCCACAGCTCCTCAGAATACCAGGGAATCAAATGTGCTCCACAACGCCAGAGCGGATACTCAGGGGTGATTATGCCAACCACCCATCTCAACTAGGGCTGGCCCAAGATTTCTGGCACCTGAGGTCAACCACAAAATGGAACCGCACCACCAGGGAAGAAGGGGAGAGTGAAGATCTACTTCATGAAGAAGGGGTGGGGAGTGAAGATCTAATCAACCGTACCCAACAGTGGGAATCAAAGGCTATCATGGGCAAGGGTGCTTCTGTGAATCACGCTGGGGATGTGCAGAGCCCAGGAGATCCCAATATTTCCTCCCTAGGGGTGCAAGAGGCCATCAATGCCATTAGTGCCTGTGCCTCCTATTCACTGAGAGGCCACGCCACTGTGGAGGCGGCAAGCAGGGGGCTGCCAAGGAAGCAGGTTGTCTGGCTTCCTGGCAGCGTGTCGCAGTCATTGCTGCCACCACAGCAACAGAAGGCGGCGATGCATTCCTCGGAGGCTGGATCTGCTTCTCTTGCGGCTCTTGCTGCCTGAGGCAATTGCCTCACCTTGTCTCATGGGTGAGCAGCTTGGCCCTGATTTCAACTCACGATTCCACAGTGAGATCAGGGCTTTGACAGGATGTTCAATCTTTCTCAGCTGTAAAATCCCCCGGAGCATCCGGGAATTGATCAAGCTCCAGGGGCAGACCATTCAAACCGGTACACCACCCTTCTAATGTGAATTACCTCCACCAACCCAAACTTCACCAGATATTGGTCAGACTACGACCACAGGCACAGTACCGTCGGACCACAACTTGCATCACTCAGGGGAGAGATTACATTGAAGGTATGATCTGCTTGGTGTGTCAGACCGATGAACATTTGAGACAGCCACATGGTTGTCATGGAAACCACAAAGTCCCAAGCTGGCCCAACAGCAGCCTCTATATGGATGTTAGACTCATTATGAACTATTGCCCTGAGGTCCGCCAGCATAATGCTAGACATTTTATAGCGAAGGAAATGGAACTCCTATTGGTGATGCTCCTGCCCTGGCTCTCCAGTATGACCCACCCAGCTGACCTACTCAGGTCTCAGTAATACATGGCAAGTTGGCGCCTTCATCCATGATCAAAGAATGGCTGAGCATGGCCTTATTTTGTACTGACCTGGCATTACATAGTCCCACTGCCAGACCAGAGGACTTGGTGGATAAGTGCCCATTGAGTTCTTATGAGGGAAAATAGTTTTCCTCTATCCGCTTTCTCAATGCCATGCATACTTTTATAGTGTACTATCAAGTCAGTTCTTACTCACCTTTTCTTTAAGCCAACCCTCAGCCCCCAATGTTGCAACCGCTCGTTTCTGGAGAGTTGCTCTAGCCATTGATCATTTTGCTTGGCCTTTTCTGAAGCTTTTCTAACTCTGCAATATCCTTTTTGATGTGATCAGAACCTCACTACTTTCTTTCATCTGTCCTGAAAATGCTGTGTGTGACAGCCCTGAAAAAAGGTGAATTCCATGTTAGGGAACTTTCAGAAAGGAACTGAAAATAAAAGTACAAATATCATAATTCTGTTATACAAAACAGCGGTATGACTACATTTTTAAAAAATCTGTAAACTTCTGGTAACTAAACCTATATAAAAATATTATTGAGCTGAAAATGTACAGGGAAGAGGAACTTCCTTATGAGGAAAGGTGAAAAGGGGATTTTTTTAGTTTAGAAAAAAGTAAGTAAAGGAGGAGGACATGATAGAGGTGTATAAGATTATGCATGATTTGAAAAAAAGTTTAAAGAGAAAAGCATTTCTCCCTCTCTCATGGCACTAGACCTCATGGACATTCAGTGAAGCTGAATGCTGGAAGATAAAAGAAAATACTTATTCACAGTGCTATTTTTCTAGGGAACAAGGTGCTCGAATTCACCATAAATACCTCCCTTGTTCTCTTAAAATGGCAATGGCACCCATCTGAGAGGTGCCAGGACTGAGTTCCTGTGAGTTCCCCTGGAATAAAAGCCCTGCTTCTTCACATAGCACGTAGTTAAACTATGGAACTTGCTTCGACAGAAGGCAGTGATGGATGGCTTGTAAAAGAGGATTGGACAAATTCATGGAGGAGGAGAGGGCTATTGATGTCTATTAACTATGTTGGCTATGCTTCTGCATACAAGCTGCTGGAAACCACAGGAGGGGAAAGCACTATTTGTGCCCAGGTCCTGTTTCCCACTGGGGGATCTGGTTGGCCCCTGTGAGAACAGGATGCTGGACTAGATGGGCCCCTGGCCTGTTCCAGAAGGCTCTTCTCATGTTCTTAAGGCAAACCATGAATTCCTTTTGCCATGTTTCCATCAAAGAGAATGTTCAGAACAATAAAGATCCATAAAAGTGTTTAAAGTCAAGATTAATAAAAATGTATGAGATTATTTTTAAGGGGGGGGAAATCATATTTAACATAGCTCTTCGAAGGTGTTTCTACAGGTGGTAGATGACTGAAGCTGCTGCCGGTTTCCTATTAATTCAGCAGTTTTCCATTACGCGTATCCAGAATTTTCAGGGTCACTGCAAATGAGGCAGCGCTGAGGGACCGATTTACATTTCGCCCCAGGGAAGCTTTCGCCATGTAGCAAAGCAAATGTTCAGGTTCCTGCGAGTTCTTTCTTCAGAGGCACCAAGACTGCGCTCTTTAAACCTCCCAGACTTGGACCCTCTTGAAAGTTTACGAATCAGGGGTTTCAGCATATGAACCTCCATCTATTTATGTCACTGGTAGCGCAAAAGGGGGAAAAAAACCAATGCGGAGGAGGGAGATGGATTCAGTGGCGTAGCGTGGGGGGGTGCAGGGGGGCCCGGCCGCACCAGGCGCAACATCTGGGGGTTAGGGTTAGGGGGCGCAAATCCACGGGTTAGGGGGCGCAAATCCACGGGTTAGGGGGCGCAAATCCACGGGTTAGGGGGCGCAAATCCACGGGTTAGGGGGCGCAAATTACTTGCTTTGCCCCGGGTGCTGACAACCCACGCTACGCCACTGGATGGATTTGCGACGTGAACGTGCAATTCAGCAAAGAAAGGAGAAGAAGAAGGTTTCACAGTTGCGTTTCCAATTCGGGCTGAGGCAAGAGGCGCTTCGGGGAGCCTGACTCCCAGCCCGGTATCGGGCGCTGGGCCGGCCATTGCGACGGGCGCCCGGAGCACCTCGAGGCTTCCCGCGCCGCCTCCGCCTTCCCTCAGCCGCGCAGAGGAGGAGCCGGGCCCGCCGGGCGCTGCGAGGGAGGCGCAAGTCCGCGCGCGAGGAGGAGCCGGGCGGGAAGGCGGCGGCGGCGGCGAGGATGGCGGCCCCGGGGGGCTCCCGGCGCCGCGGCGGGAAGAAGCGCCCCTGACGGGACTCGCGCTATGCGCGCAGGTAAGGAAGGCGGCCAGCGGCCTTTGCGCCCCCGGAGGCTGGGGAGCGGCGGCAAGCGCAGCCCGCCTGCTGCTGCTCAGCGGCGACGGGGTTGGCTGCGCCCGCCGCAGGTGCTCAGGCCGCCTCTCCCTCGGCGGCGTTTCCCAGGTGCGAGCCCGGAAAGCGGCAGGCCGCGTGTGGAAGCGAGCGCGGGGCGGGCGCCGGGCTCCGCTTCCCTCCGGGCGGGCGGGCCTGGTGGACGCGGCGCCCTTGAGCTGCGCGCCATGGCCGCCTGAAGGCGTCTCCTCACACTTGGGAAACGGCTCCTCCTCGGTCTCTCTCGGCTCGGGGAAGTTTCTTCCGCTTGTGCGAGCTGATAAGGCGAGCTCCTCCGCCAGAAGGAAGGCCGAGGGACCGACTGCAGCGGGGAGATCTCCCCAGGCTTGGGCGGGTGTCCGCCGCGCACACACCTAACAGCAGCTCCTCAAACAGCAGGAGGTAGAAGAAAATCAAGGCGAAAATCAAACGCCCTGCAACTGCGGTAGATAAATTTCATGAAATAAATAAAAATAAATTATATTGATAGCTCAACTTTTGTGATTTTTAAAAATATATATATTCCAGAAGAAGCATTCATCATCTTCAGTTTGGAGAAATGTGGTTTGATCTTTTTAGGCATCTGTGCATATGCTTGACATTTGAGCGACTGCTGTGTTCTTGACATGGGACAGTATTTGAAGGCTGTCTCTGGTACAAAAGAAAATGGGTCTCCAGTAGGGAGTACCTTAACATCTGGACTGGATTCCTGACAACTTCAGCATCCTCCTCATGACCAGAAACCTGCTTAGAGAACTGTCCTCTTGCTTATGACTTTGCTGTAGAGCATTGGGTTCTTCCTTTCCTGAGACTTCAGGTGATAGCAAGGAGAAGCCTCCTCTTGCTTGGGCTTACAAATCAAGGAAATATTTCCATTAGTAAGCAGCCTTGCTTTGAAAGCTGAGAATTAGCGATCTTGTCACCAGTAACCTGAAAACCAAGCAAAGTCTGCATTGGTTGTCCCCATGGCTTCTAATAGTTGTGGTTGCTTCTCTTGGTTTTGCCTGGAGAGGCAGGCAAGGTCTTGGAGACATCTGAGGTATGGCCCTTGTTGGCTGGTGGCACCTGGAAAGCTGGCCCAGCCTGGTCAATAGGATAGCAATGCTGCTTTTTAGCGTTGGATATGTGGTTGCTGTTTTGTTGTTCAATCCCTTCTTGGTGAAGAAGAACATTAAACCAAGATGACTTGAGCAAATATTGGCTAGTCTAAAATTTGCCATTTGGGCATAAGGTGCTTGTGAGGGTAGTTGGTAGGCAATTTAGAGTATAGTTTTGAAGAAAGCTGCCTTTCTCAAACATGGATTTGTCAAGCCATTACAATCTGACTATTGCAACCTATATAGCCTAATATATGAAAAAGAATTTGTTATTTACAGCTCTCAAATTCTGTACATAAAGTAGCAAATCTCAGGAATGTCTATGAAGTCCCTGTCAGAATCGTATCCCTAGATACCTTTTTAAAAGCAGAAATTAGGTCTCCCAGCTTGTCTGGCTCTCTGACTTGCCACTGGCCTCTGTTCCATCCCCTCCATTGACGGTCTTGACTGGTGAGCTTTTGGCAGCTGAGAAGCAGGGCCAGTGGAGCTGTGTAGTGCCGAGAGCTTGGTTGGAAACAGGGAGTAAATGCAATGTGATAGTGCTCTCCTCTTCCTGCATCTCCAGTTTGCTGCATTTCCTTTGGTTGTGCTGAGAAAGGGGCTTTTCCTCAAGCACACAGTGAAGAAGCAAAGAAAGGAAGTCCCTTTTGTAGTGGGAAGTCTGTATGTTTTGGCTCTGACATTGCTGGTATGCAACCCCTCATCCATATGTATTATTAGTATTAGTATTGGTATTATTATTTATACCCCACCCATCTGGCTGGATTTCCCCAGCCACTCTGGGCGGCTTCCAGCAAAATATAAAAAATAAAATAACATTTCAAACATTAAAAACTTCCTGTGACTTCATTACTTGATAAAAGATGACTTGAGTAGCCTGGCGTCTAAGTAGCTTGGGGTCCTAAGCAGGTGTGCCCCTTATCATCCCTGCTTCCTGATATATTTATAGAGCCACTCAGTAGTATTAGATTATGCTACATTTAAATAGTGAGAGATGCATAATGAACTTACTTATGACAGTCTCTTCCACTAACAGATCAGTGTGAGGCAATCCTGAACAAGATATACTTGCTGAGTGAATGTGTTTGCATTGCTTTTCCAACAGTAGCAAATGAATAAATAAATGCAGAGGAGCTTTAAGACTCCAACCCATCATGCAAAAGGTTTTGTTTCCGGCGTGTCTTTGTGGTTGAAAGCAGAATGACATATTAGTACTTGCACAGTCTATAAACATGGATGTGGGATAGTGTGAAATGGGAATAAGCTAGCATATTCTGATGGAAGGCTGCTGTTTGGATAACTGTTGCCTGTTGCCATATCTGTTTTGAAAAAATGAGGTGTGTGTGACTACAGGCATAACAGGATTGTGCTTCATTGAAGTGGGAACTGGCATGAGCGAGGTGAGGGGGGAAACCAGTATTTTCCTAGAGGTGAAGAAAAATGTAATTTGGGCAGAAATAGTTTGGAGGTAAGAGTTTAGAAGAAGGAATCTGGTGAGAACTGAATTCTGCCAGAAAATTAATTTTCAAGGAATCTGGGGAAGGTGAATATGTAAAAAGAAAATAATTTTATTACAGGAAATTGTAATTGGGCTTTTATGTATAAGATCTTTGCTGAATCAGTTCAAAATTCATTTGAGTCATCAATACGGATGCTGGAGAATTGCGCTCTAAGTAGAGGCAGATACAGAAATTCCCTGTTTGCATGTTTGATCAATGCTCAGGAATGTACTTCCTTGAAGTGAATGGAATCCACATTCATTCATCCACACTGTTTTAAGTGAAGATTTTATGTAATTAATATGGTAATTTTTGCCTTGTTGCTTTACTTGATGTTTCCTAACACTATTACTGTATCATGAAGCACAACAGAGGTTTAGAAGCATGAGGGGATATGGCTGGACGTTAGCTGCTTCATTTACTTTAAAACAGAATGCACATGGAGGTAAATAACACAAGGTATTGGTTTTTGGCTGAGAGAAGGGTTTCCAAAAAGTGAGAAAGTCAATGATGTATACAGGTGCCTCTTTGCTTTTCTTATTACATGGAGAAGAATAATCTCTCAATATCTTTGGATTTTATTTGTGATCTTCCATTAAAGTCCTAGCCTCTTTGTCAGCGTGGGAAGAACCATCCTGATTTGACTACCCATATTTGACCACTGTATACTTTTTTAAGTATAATTAAATCTAAAATGTCCTCCCCCTTCCTTGCAGTTTTCTTGACATAACTAAACTTGACCAACCCTGATGCCCAAATGAGGGAAGTGAGCTAGGATGACAAATTTATAGTGAGCTGTGAAATCAAGATATCCCCACTTACCTGGGAGTAGATTAGCTTTACAGTCATAAATGGCTTTGTGGTGAGCAATTAACCACTTCATTAACTGTGTCTTTAAGGTGTCAGAAGGCTCTTTGCTGTTTTTCCTGAAAAAGAGTAACAGGGCTACTTTCTGAAAATTCATTAGCTTTGGAAGGGAACATGCAGGGAAATAAATTCATTTGTAAATATTGAATTAATATGAGATATGCATGTCTATTATGTGCTATGTAAAAAAAAACCCCATATGTGTAAAATATAACACATATACTGCAATTCAAACTGCATATATTTTTGCACCAGTGGATGACAACAGAACACAGACTTGCACGAAATAAAGCAATTGCAGTGAAATTCAAATACCATATGAAAGTGTAAATGATAATCAGAAGGGTTGAGGCATGTTCATACATCGCTTTTCATCAAGCAGCCTTTTTCCAGCTGTAGCTTGCCCGGTGTTTCTACAAGCTCACAAGGAGGATGTGAAGCTAATGGCGATATTTCCCTTTTTGTCCTTAGTTTCTGGTATTCAGAGGTATTATGCCTCTGAAAGCAGTAGATTCATTTAGTGTACATGGGTAATAGCTGTTCATTGATACTCTATGAATTTGTCTGATCCTCTTTAAAGCCATTAATATAGTGGTCATATTAATATAGTGAAGAGAAATAACATGTGCAGTGTTTTACAAAGTTACATTCATTCCCCTTCCTCTTGCTTCCAGAACCATGGAAAGCCGGGTTGGGGGTGCTGAAGGAAAGAGAAGAAATTCAGAGCACAGCATTCTGTGGTGGTGTAGCAAATAAAAGGTATAGGCATTTGGTGTTTGGTGCCCAGGCCTTAGCTCTGCTTTATACTAACTTAGACAAGTTGCCTGTCTCCATCTTAGTCCAGAATTTTAGCAGCAGCCAGTTAAATGTCTCTAGGAAGCTTACAAGCAGAGCATGAGAGCAACTGCAGTCTCCAGACTCCTAAGAGGAACTTTGTGTGGGTGAGACTGAGGGGTTGGATAGCTTGGCAGGATAAGTGTGACTTGGACAAGCCCCACATTTTGGAAGCACCAGCTGCCACTGCATTAAGCGCTGTAGATTGGAATCAGTGTTCCTGCTTTTACAAAATACAGCCCCAGATTATAGATGGATAGCTGGAGGAGACTCTTGAGAGTCCCATGGACTGCAAGAAGATCAAACCTCTCCATTCTGAAGGAAATCAGCCCTGAGTGCTCCCTGGAAGGACAGATCCTGAAGCTGAGGCTCCAATACTTTAGCCACCTCATGAGAAGAGAAGACTCCCTGGAAAAGACCCTGTTGGGAAAGATGGAGGGCACAAGGAGAAGGGGACAACAGAGGACAAGATGTTTGGATAGTGTTCTCGAAGCTACCAGCATGAGTTTGACCAAACTGCGGGAGGCAGTGGAAGACAGGAGTGCCTGGCGTGCTCTGGTCCATGGGGTCATGAAGAGTCGGACATGACTAAACAACAAAGGTGATATCCATAAAGTTGGGCAAAGGGTGGCATGAAAAGAACACTCTTATTTCTCTGTTTGGTGTCTGTTGTTAAGCCACCATTTTGGTCTTAAACTGGAGTGCCATAGCATTACCATTGTATAAACTTTCCATGTGGATTTGGAGAAAGAGGTTGTTGTGCCCACAAGTGGGGTAAACTAGTGAATCTTTATATGGTACTGATCCTTGAGACTATAAAAAATAATACATGAGACACTACTTATGAATTGATTTTTTAAATAGTTTTTTAATTTCAAATACTGAGCAACACTGGGCCAACTTTTTGGCAGAAATGTTCCTGGAGATAATACAGCCTTTTGATAAGGGTTTCTGCTCTATTCATGGAGGTTTTACTTGAGGGCTTTAATTGCTAGTTGTTGGGCGAATAGTCCCTTTGTTAGATCATTACGAGAAAGCTAGAGCTTGCAGATTAAATTGTGGATGTATTCTGACTA